CTCGCATTTAATACGGGTCAGTAAAAAAGCTTATTGCCCCCAGAACATTTGGTGACCCCGATGTGATCGCGGAATCAACACTAACAAGTTTGGTTTATCGCAAAATTGGTTTATCACACGTTGCGTTTGACTATTTTTTGGCACGTCAATTTCAAAAGAATGCCACCATCCAAAAAGATTGACTCAGCTGAAGGCAAGAAAAAGCTGGAGTCATTTGTCCAACAAATTGCCATGATCAACAACTCCCTGACTTTCGATGCCCTGCGTGAGTTCGACGAGGCTGCAGTAGAGGTGCGCATCGAGCAAGCGGATCGAATGGAGAAGAGGTTCGATGCCCTTCACACGCAACTAGAGGACAACGACGCTGATGATCTTTTGACTGCATTTACTAGTAACTATATCGAGGTAAAAACTAAGCTGAAACGTCAGCTGCACACATGCCGAGCTTCAGAAGCGCATAGCTCTACGACGAGGCCATTTTCTGGTGATCAACCTTCGATCATCGTCACTCAACCAAAGCAGAGGTTACCCGTCTTACAAATCCCTAAGTTTAGCGGTAACTATTCAGAATGGCCAGATTTTTTCTCGATGTTCAATACCGTTGTACATCAGGACGTAGATTTGACAAGAATTGAGAAATTCCAGCACCTTCGGTCAAGTCTACGTGATGCAGCGTTGGACACAATTCGTTCCTTAGAAATAAGTGAACAAAATTATGAGAAGGCCATTGATTTGTTAAAAGCTCGATTTGATAACAAGCGTTTAAACTTCCAGGCTCATATCCGAGACATTGTTCAGCTCAAGAGGGTAGAGGGTGAAAGGGTTGTCAAACTTCGAGAACTCAGCGATACGGTAAATGCTCACTTACGAGCTTTGCAAACTATGGGAACAAAGGAGCAGATCGCCGATTGCTTACTCATTCAACTCGTTTCTGGAAAATTGGACGTCAAATCTCGGGCGAAATGGGAGGAACAAACACCAGCAAATGAAATACCTACTTGGAGTTCAATGGCTATATTTTTGGAACAACACTGCCAGCGACTGGAAAATGTGCAGAACGCTATTGCACCGCCGGAAAATCAGGTAGGAAAGAAATCGTCCAATAACAATAACAGTCGCAAGGTTCTGCTAACGTCAGCTGTAGGTGCATGCATATTGTGCAGTTCTAGCGAGCACAACATCGCAAAGTGCGAACAGTTTCTATGCCTTTCGCCTACAGCACGCTACAAAGAAGCAAAAAGATTGCACTTATGTTTGAATTGCCTTCGACACGGTCATTCACTTAAGGACTGCAAGTCCGGTCACTGTAGACATTGCACTTCGAAGCATCACAGTCTGCTTCATCAAGAAACAAATTCATTTTCGACTTCGTCACAAGCATTGGCTTCTGCCAAACTGCCGTCGCAAGCGCAATCAACAACAACAATCCCTACTTCTATCAATTCGTACTTGCCTTCGTCTTCATCTTTCGGTCCTTCAGCTTCTGCATTTGTCAGTTCTGAAGTTCAAGCCAGCGTTGCTGACAGAGATTTCGTTCTCTTAGCAACCGCCATCATTTACGTAAAAAATCGATCTGGCTCTCTCATTCCCTGCAGAGCTTTACTAGATTCTGCGTCACAATTAAATTTCATAACCAATCGACTCGTTAACCAGCTACAATTGAAGAAGATCAAGTCTTCGCAGTTCATTTCTGGTATAGGCCAAAATGAGTTCGTTGCTAATCATATCGTTGATTTAGACCTGCATTCGCGCATTAATGATTACACTGCTAAATTGTCTGCGGTTGCAACATCCACCATTACCGATGTTCAACCAACTCGCTCTTTAAAGGGTATTAATTGGAACATACCATCAAACATACCCTTAGCGGATCCACAATTCTTCGAACCTCAGCGCATTGATATGCTCATTGGAGCTAGTTTATTTTTCGACCTCCTCTGCGTCGGTCAGATTCGCTTGGCTGAAAACTTGCCACTTTTACAAAAAACAAAGTTAGGCTGGGTTGTATCAGGCGCAACTACATACAATGTTCAGAAACTATCTTGCTTAGCAGCCATCGACATGGCTCTAGCAAATGACACAGATGTCGAGTTAAACAACCTGGTTCAGCGATTTTGGGCCATCGAGAATTGCAATGACTCCGCACCAAAGACTACAGTAGAGGAAGACTTGTGCGAAGAACATTTCATCAAAACCCATAAGAGATTAGAATCTGGTGAGTTTTCGGTTCGATTGCCAGCAAAATCGCCTCATTGCGAATTAGGAGAATCGTATCAGCAGGCCATCAATCGGTTCAAAGCTTTAGAGCGGAAATTTCAGCGCAATGCTGAACTAAAACAACAATATTCGTCGTTTATCAAGGAGTACCTTGATTTGAATCATATGTCAGTCGTTGACACTATACCAAAGCAAATTCCAGTGAATTTTTTGCCGCATCACTGTGTGTTGAAAGCTGATAGCACCACAACAAAACTGCGTGTGGTTTTTGATGGCTCTGCGGCAACCAGCAATGGACGTTCGCTGAATTCGATCCTGATGAAAGGACCAACTATTCAACCACCTCTTTTTGATATTTTGCTTAGATTTCGCACAAAAAGTTGCTCTTACTGCAGACATCGCTAAAATGTACCGGTGCGTAGAATGTCTCATCCAGACAACTTCCTTCAATGTATAATATGGAGGGATAATCCTAATGAAGATTTCTGCATTTTTAAATTAGATACCGTCACCTACGGAACAAAGCCAGCTTCTTTTCTAGCCATTCGAGCAATGCAGCAGCTTGGCCGTGACGGAGCTCTCGTCTATCCCGTTGGAGCCGAGACGATACACCATGGATTCTATGTGGATGACATGATTTTCGGTGCAGACTCTGTGGACGAAGCTAAAGTCGTGCTAAACCAGACAAAGAAATTGTTAACTCTTGGAAACTTTCACTTGAGGAAATGGTGCTCCAATGATGATCGCGTTTTGGCTGATATAGGTGGTAATGACAGACAGGACTTTCTAACCTTCGATGATGGTGCAAGCATAACAAAGACACTTGGATTGGTTTGGGACCCAAAGTTGGACGTATTCATATTTTCATTTTCTCCTTTCGCAACACCAACCAAGGTAACTAAGCGTACAATCCTTTCAGCTATAGCTAGGCTTTACGACCCGCTTGGTTTGATTGGACCTGTGGTGGCCAAAGCCAAAATATTCTTGCAGCATTTGTGGAAGGAGAAGCTACATTGGGACGAAAGCCCACCTCAAGCATTACAAGAAGAATGGCTGGAAATATGCAATCAATACAAGCTAGTTGCTCGTTTTAGTTTCGACCGTTACTTGATAATGCCCGAGGCGGACCTACAAATACATGGGTTTTGCGATGCGAGTATTGCTGCTTATGGTGCCTGCATATACATACGTGCTGAAAGTGACGGACACATACTAACCAATCTTCTCTGCTCCAAATCTCGTGTAGCTCCACTTAAAGCGCTGACGGTACCGAAGCTTGAGCTTTCTGGAGCATTACTTTTAGCCGAGTTAATCGCAAAAGTGGTAAGCGCAACGCATTTCAAAGGAAAAAAGGTAGTTTGCTGGTCAGACTCCACAATAGTGCTATCATGGCTACGTAATTAACCGGCCAACTTCAACGTTTTTGTCGCAAATCGTATTAATGCAATTCAGACCCTAACTAAAGGTATGACTTGGGGCTATGTTCCAACCGATTCCAACCCAGCAGACATTCTTTCAAGAGGCGCTAGTCCGAAAGATCTTTTAAACATGTCTTTGTGGAAAAATGGACCATCTTATCTTGGTGGCGATCAGAACAATTGGCCAAAATCTCCTCTCTTACCAATAAAGGACTTACCCGAATATCGAAAGCGTGCATTTGTATTTATTACTATATCAGACATGATTCGATTGCAGAGAGTATATGCATACATTTATCGTTTCTCCCGACCACTTGGAAAGAGGCTTTAGGGACTACTCAACGCCATTGAGTTACAGGAAGGCACTTTTCTGCTTATTCGAATGATTCAGAGGACGCATCTTCGAGATGCATACAAAGCGCTAGAAGCTAAGGAGGCGATAAAGACTTCATCTGAAATTCGTTCACTGAACCCCCTCCTAGACGAGCGTGGATTGATCCGAGTCGGCGGAAGACTTCAGCATTCAAATTTGGATTTTTCATCGAAACACCCAATTATTTTGCCAAAACGTCACCCGGTGACTGAGTCGATCATCAGCAGCTTTCATAGAAAACTTTTACACGCTGGACCACAATCGTTGTTAGAATCTATTCGTCTTCAGTATTGGCCTATTGGCGGTCGTAAAACCGTAAGTCGAGTTATTAACAAATGCGTTCGTTGTTTTCATGTCAAGCCTAAGCTAATGGAACATTTAATGGGAAACTTACCCTCCGAAAGGGTTAGATGCAATCGAGCATTCCTAACTACTGGAGTGGACTTGTGTGGACCATTTTTCTACAAATCCGACGTACGAAATCGAGCACCAGTTAAATGCTACATTTGCATATTTATTTGCTTCGCAACAAAGGCCGTTCATTTGGAGCTGGTCAAGGATTTGGCAACCTCTTCATTCCTCGCAGCCCTAAAGAGATTTATTAGTACGCGTGGTAGACCGCAAACCATATGGTCGGACAATGCCACCAATTTTGTTGGAGCCAAAAATGAGCTATCGGAGTTGAGAAAACTATTTTTGAGCCAAGAACATTCAAGAGCTATTCATGAGCAGTGTGCCAGCGATGGAATTGAATGGAAGCTGATACCCCCTCGCTCTCCCCACTTTGGCGGTTTATGGGAAGCCGCAGTAAAAATGGCCAAATATCATTTGTATCGAGTTATTGCACTTTCTAAATTAAACTTTGATGAGTTTCGCACACTTGTGTGCCAAATATCTGCAATTATAAATTCAAGGCCTTTATGTCCAATTACAGAGAACCCTGACGATTTAGAGGTACTGACCCCAGGGCACTTTCTTATTGGCGCATCCTACACAGCAGTCGTAGAACCTGACATCACCCCATTACAAATTGATCGTCTTAGCAGATGGCAGCGTGTGTGCTACATGCAACAACAATTCTGGAAGAAATGGCATGCCGAATTTCTGACTCTTCTGCAGCAGCGCCAGAAGTGGCACTCATATTCGTCGAATCTGAAGCCTGGAGACGTGGTTTTGATCAAAGATGAGAACAATCCCCCGCTAAAGTGGCCTCTGGCCAGGGTCATAGAAACTATTTCTGGAAGCGATCAGGTGGTGCGAGTTGCAGTTCTGAAGACATCAAATGGCGTATACAGACGAGCGGTTGCAAAGCTGTGCCTTCTTCCAATTGAAGATAATATCTTGAAAGCCTAAGTCTTTCAACGGGCGGAGTATGTTTAGTTATAGATAACTACATTATATCTACATATTAAGTACCCAA